GGGCATGCATACTCAGCAGCAGAGTAGCATAGAGCAAGGGCAGATGTCTTCACTATGTCTGGTTGTGATCCCCAGGTTGTGCCAGTCAGCTTTTGTATGATATTGTTTGTAGCGCCCACCTTTTGCTTGATATTCAGGCAGTGCTTCTTGTAGGTCAGGGCATGGTCCAGAGTGACTCCCAGGTATTTGGGTGTGCTGCAATTCTCCAGTGGGATTCCTTCCCAGATAATCCTCAGAGCTCGGGAAGGAAGGAAGGAAGGAAGGAAGGAAGGAAGGAAGGAAGGAAGGAAGGAAGGAAAGAGGAAGGAAGGAAGGAAGGGGAAAGAGAGGGAGGGAGGCAGGAAAGGGGAGGAAGGAAGTATGAAAGTACGGAAGAGAAGGAATGAGGGAGGGAGAAGGAGGGAGGTAAGGAGGAAGGAAAGAGGAAAGATTGGGTGGTGAGAGAGAGAGAAGTCCTGAGTAAAGAGCCCAAGGGGACGTATCTGGCCCCCAGGCCTGGGTTTGCCCATACCTGCTTCAGAACATTGCAAGGAAGGGAGTATTTTTAAAAGATTTGGAAGTACGTGGTGGTGGTGGTTTTCTTGCCAGGATTTCTTCAGAGGGACTACCCTTTGTCGCCTTCTGAGGCTGAGAGAGTGTGACTTGGCCAGGATGCCTCACTGAGCAGGGATTTGAACCCGAGCCTCTGGGAGCCTTAGTTGAGTGCTCAGATTGTTGTACTGTGCCAACTCTAGTCAAAAGAGATCAAGAGACTCGCATAGAGGCTGAGGGATCTGAGTGGTGGCTTTTCTCCTTCAGGCTGCTGCCAAAGGAAGGAGTGGTGCCAGGGAGGAGGGCAAACAGTTGCCATGCAAGATTGCAGATTCGGGCGGGAAACTATGAAGGTTTGGCGGCAAAGCTCACCTGCTGTGTTTGCTTTTTTGCACAAAGATACAGGAAAGGCCCCTTAGAATGTGGACTTTGGCCCGGCAAAGTGCCTGGCCGGCCGTTGGGACAGCGGCCACCTGTTTTAATATTTGTATATTTGCAGATTTTAAATGGTATGGAAATAATTTTAATGTAAGCTCCTTTGAATCTCCTTGTGGAGAGAAAAAGTGGGGTATAAATAAGCATAATGATGATGATACTACTATTACTACTACTACTAATAATAATAATAATAAAGTAATAGTAATAGTAACATGCACTGGCAGATTAACCGCTTTGAAAATAACCGCTTTGAGTCGCCTGAGGGCTGAGAAAAGCGGTATATAAATGAAGTAAATAAATAAATAAATTATGTGAAAGGCAGTCAAGAACCAACATTGTTGGAAGTCAATAGTAGAAAACTGCTTCAAGTGGAAAAGACAAAGAATGAATACCGTAAAAATGCAATGCAGAGCAGAAGAGAAAACCGACAAAACAAGGCTCTCCATGGACAGTTCCTGGGAAAAATTGAGAACAAAATTGACAAGGAAAAAACATGGATGTGGCTCACAAATGGAACTGTGAAAAAGGAGACGGGGGCCTGATTCTTGCAGCCCAAGGACAAGCAGTTAGAACAAATGCCATCCAAGCCAGAATTGAAAAGTCGACAACAGATTCCAAATGTAGACTCTGCAAGGAAGCGGACAAAACAATGGATCACAAACCCAACTGCTGCAAGAAGATCGAGCGGACAGACTACAAGCAGAAGCATAATACTGTTGCTCAGGTGATCCATTGGAATTTGTGCCACAAATACTATCTGCCTGTGACAAAGAAGTGGTGGGATCACAAGCCTGAAAAAGTTACAGAAAATGACTCTGGGACTTCCAAATTCAGACTGACAGAGTTTTGGAGCACAAGACTCCTGACTTCAGTATTGTGTAAGAAACAAAGTATGGATCATCAATATTGCAATCCCAGAGACAGCAGAATTGACGAGAGACAACTGGAAAAGCTTACACAATATGAGGATTTAGAGATAGAACTGCAAAGACTGTGGCACAAGCCAGCAAAGGTGGTCCCAGTGGTGATCGGCACACTGGGTGCAGTGCCTAAAGACCTTGGCCTGCACTTAACAACATTCGGTGCCATCTATCAGCTGCAAAAGGCCACCCTACTTGGATCTGCATGCATTATTCACCGATACACCACACAGTCCTAGACACTTCGGAAGTGTCCGACGTGTGATCGAATACAAAAGCCAACAGAGTAATCTTGTTTGCTGTGTACTAATCTTGTTATGTATCAAATAATAATATCAATAATGAGGATGCTGGAAAAGAGCCATGTCTGCTGCCGCTCAGAGCTGGCAATACTGGCCCAGGTGACACAGGACAGAGGCAGCTTCCCATGTTTTCCTGGTTTTGGTCCCCAGCAATGTTTGCGGGAAATGATCCTGCCTGAACCCCAAGCTGATGGTCCTGGGATCCTCAGCAACTGCAAACCACAACAAGGCCTCCGGTAAGAAAACTGGGAGTGGCCCAAGATTCACTTCTGCATTTTGAATGTCAGAAGCGGCAAAGGGAAAGGGGTGCTTCTAACTGAAAAAAAGCAAAGAACTGCCTGGGAGAGTCAATTCATTTCTGGAGAATGGAGGAAGGGCAGTTTGGGGAGTCTGGAGGGGCTCCAAGTCTGCAAAAACAATCCAGAGGTAGGGCGGGATATACTTTGGCCATAACTGCAGCGTGTTCCTCCTGTACCTGCTTTAAAATCTTCAGACCACATCGGGAAGGGTTGGTGAGCCATCTGGGTAGGGCAGTGTTTCCCAACCTGTGGTCCATGGACAACCAGTGGTCCGCAAGAAGTAAAATATGGTCTGTGGCCTCACTGTTACTACACCGTTGCAAAGAGAGCAACTTGTCTCGCAAAACCGAAGTTTATTAAATATGGCCTCCTATGGATGAGCAGATGGTGACTATTGGATGGCATATGTTCTATATCAGAAACTAGAGCTGATGTGGTCTATCCAATGCAATTTTCTGAATCAGCACCCCAAATAACTAATCCGAATCTAAAGTTGCCCAAAAACTGATTCATAACCCTTTTGGTCCTAATGTTGGAGAGTCAAATGGTTCCTTCTCAAAAAAGGTTAGGAATCACTGGGGTAGGGCAAATCAACACAGAATGTGTACATGTATGTGTGTGAGTGAAAGGGATGCATAGTTCTTTGTGGTGCCTTGGCGCCCCCTGCCAGCAAAGAAAAGCAATACAAACATTGAAGTATTCAGTCTGCGGCCTCACTGTTACTACACTGTTGCAATGGGTGCAACAATTGTGCAATCGTGCAATGTTTCTGTTGAAGCTCAGTGTTCAAATATATCTAGCCTCTATTTCCAATCAGAAACTAGAAACAGGATGCAAAATAAAATAGTTTAATCTGCAGAAAATACTAAGAGGTAGTTACAATCCTCCCCTCTCCTCTCCTCTCTTTAACACATTCTCAAACTTTCTTCTAAAATTCACTTTTAAAATCTTAGCTCTACTTTTGGCTTTCCTTGCTAACTGAAGCCTGCCAATGAAGGCCCTGAGAGCCAGCATAGTGAAATGGTTCGAGTGTTGGACTATGATTCTAGAGACCAGGGTTCAAATCCCTGTTCAGTTATGGAAAACCATTGGACGACTGTGGGCAAGTCAACCTGTCTCGGTTTTGGAGGAAGGTAAAGGCAAACAAATAATGCAAGAAACCCCTTTGAGCATTAAGCCCACCGTAATGATTTGAAGGCCCACAACTTCTGATGTTTCTGAACCCCTCCTGCAGTACTCCCCTTCTGGAGCCTTGGGGAGACGTCTTCCAAGCCTTCTCCAGGCAGTCTCTCTCCAAGCCCTTTCCCTGCTTCTTCAGAACAGAAGTAATGTTTTGTTCATGGACACCAACCATATAACACCCAACAGTTTTCCTTCCCAACCAGTCAAGGAATGGACCTAGGTCTTGTAGGGAAATGGTCACTGTGCAAAGTGACATCCATAAGGACATCATAGTTCCATCCAGGTGGTACTTGCTTGTGCCACTGGAGACGCCCTTCACTTTGCTCCTTTCTCTGCTTCTTCAGGACAGACGTAATGTTTTGATCATGGACACCAGCCATCTAACCCGCAACAGTTTGCCTTCCCAACCAGTCAAAGAATGGACCCAGGCCTTGTAGGAGAATGGCCACTGTGCTTGGTGGCTCCATCCATAAGGACATCATAGCTCCATCCAGGTGGTACTTGTTGTGCCACCAGAAATCTCCATTAGCTTTGTACCAGGAGATCTCTTGGCCCCATCTTGGATAATGCTTTTTCTCCATTATTTGTGAAGTTTTTATTTCACCCCATGGACGTTTTGGCTCTACCTTTCAAGCTCAATTGGCTCCATCTCTTGTTGTTCCTTGGTTCCATCCCTAGCAACTCCTCTCCATTTCTCATTAATCTCAGCCTCACCCCAGACATCTTAGATCCAGTGAATCCTTGACTTCCAGTGGCATCCTGGCCCCAGTGACCTCTTGACTTCATCCCAGTGATCCCTTGGACTGACCCCAGGGACATCTTGACTCCCCCCCCCCCAATGATTTATTGGTTCCACTCCAATTACCTTGGATCCATCCCTTGTGGTGCCTTGCCTCCACAGCTCATGAATTCTTGGATCCACCCTGATGACCTCTTGGCTTCATCCCAGTGACCTGACTCCTCCCCAGTGACCTCCTGGCTTAGTCCTCCACTTTGCCCATTACTCAACAACTGCCCTGCTTCCCCCTTATATGTTACCCCATCCCATTCCCTCTTAAATTTTAGATATGACATTTTGGTTGCATACATAGATCCACCTTCCTTTTGGGTGCTGTGCCCTTATTTTGGGTGAAATAAAAGACCCATGTCTTTGGGCCAGTTCGTAGTGCCATTTTGAACATGGGTCGCCCACAGAGGACCCAACCTTCTTGAGAACCTGGAAAGCCCAAACGCATCTGCACATCAAATGCAGGCTTACCTCTCACACAAGAGATTTATGATTTGTTTTCCTCTTTCCTCTTTTATTTGACACAAAAAATGTACAAAAGAACAGGTGAGTGGATTTTAATTGTTTATATTAAAAATCTAAAAGGTGTGACCGAACCATTTTGAATGGAGTCAAGTGTTGGAAGATATAATTTTTTTAACGATGATGTCCGCCATCATCCCCGTTCCCACCCATTGTCCTCGTCGCCGATTGGCAGTCACTTCCCAGGCACACTATTTACATCTCAGATCCAGAGAGCCACTCTCCCTGCTTCCTGCTCCCTTTCCGCCTCCCCGTCTTCCCCAGAGTCTGATGATCTGTCTCTGGACTCCAGAAGCGAGTCTAAAAGAGGACTTCCCGCTGGGTCCCAAGGTCTCCATTGGCCCTCCTTCTTAAAATGGACGGTCTCTGTCTTCTCAGCTCAGGATGAGCTTCATGCTTTCCCAAAGAGCTCTCCAAGGTGCTTTGGAACAGATGGCCTCCTTCTCTTTGGAAACTTGTCCGCAGCTCCGTCACCACATCCAAGGACTGGACTTTTGGACAGGTACAAGTGGGTCTGGAAATGGAGCAGGCAGGAAGACAACATCAACGCACCTTGGCCATTGCTGAAGGCGGGGTGATCTTGGAAGACAGAGCAGGTTGGCACTCAGCTACCTGGATGATCTCATGGTAGTTTCCCACCTATCGTTTTCTCCTCCTCCTCCTCCTCCTCCTCCTCCTCCTCCTCCTCCATTCTCTCTTTATTTCGTCATCTTCCTCTTCTTCTTTTTACAAAATGAGAAATATGATGGGCCAATGGTTATTTATAGCAACATGTCAACATTAAAACTTTCAGCTGAAGGTTCCATGGAGTACATTATTCCCTTCCGGGTCTCCAGAGAAGGCGAGGGGCTTCCTTCCTTCTTTCCTGTGTGGCTCACTGCAGCAAGGCCCGGATCTGCTTGGAAGTGGTGTCATCGTTCAGATGCCGGGTGGTGTACCTGTGGGAAAGGGCAGGGCATGGATGGGAGGTGCAGCTTTGGTGGGGGACACAGGGCCCTGCCATGACAATAGGATGCTTTCCAACCCATGCCGAGCTTCATGCTTCCAAAAAGGCATTTGCTAAAAAAGCTCTCCAGGTGCTGAACTGACTTTGGATCAGATGGGATTCAGCACCATGGAAAGCTCCTTCAAAATTGAGGGAGCTCTCCATGGGATGGGAAGGGAAAGAAAGGAAGGAAGAATGGAAGGGAAGAATGGGAGGAAGGAAAGAGAGAAAGAAGGAAAGATGAAAGGAAGGAAAGGAAAGATGGCAGGGGAAAGAGGGAGGTAAGGGAGGGAGGGAGGTAAGGAGGAAGGAAAGAAAAGGAAAGAAGAAAAGAGGAAGGAAGGAGTGGATCCCCTCTCTTTAGCATTCACTATTGACCAAACTGACTAAGGCTTCTGGAAGTTCAAAACATCTGGAGATCCAAGGTTTGGGAATTACTGATTTATATTGTCAAATTAATACCATTTGACTCCACTTGAACTGTCATGGCTCAATAATATGGCATTCCGGGATTTGTAGTTTGGTAAGGCACCTCTTTGGAAGAGGAGCCTCAAGACCTTGTGAAACTACAACTTCTTGGATTCCATAGTATTCAGCAATGTATGTGCCAAACTACATTTTTTCACCAACGTATGTGTACTTTCCCTATCTCTCACACACAAACAGCACTGCAAGGGATGTTGTCTGTCTTTTCTGTTCATCAGCCACTATTTCTAGGAATGACTGGACCTCTAAAGACACTGTTTCCTTCCTCCCACTTCAAGGGATATGAAGCCAAAGATTTGCAGAATTCTTCTGCAAACTGAGGCCTACCTTCTGGTTTGCTTCTCTAAGCAAGGCCATGTTTGTATTCACTAACAAAGGCCATCAGCACAGGTCCTGAACATTCTTCAGTGCTGCTCAGGAGTCTAAAGACAAATCCTGAAGGCACTGTGGTCTGCAGCCATTTTGAACCCAGCCAGGTTTTCAAAGATACCCCAGTGCTCCCCTGCTTCCAGAGAATGTGCAGAAGGCCTGCCTGCTTTCCAATTCCAAGAGCCATGCTGGGCATTTTATGTACCGAGGTGCTTGTCTTGCAAGGGTGCCTACCTCAGTGCATTCAGAAGGCCCTCTGTGCTGTTGGAAGGCTGGTCTTTCAAGACCTTGATACATCCTTTCATCTGGAGCAGGGAAGAAGAGAAAAGACAAAACGTGCCTATTAGGTTGCAAACAGGAATAAACAGACAGGAGAAGAGCAGGAGAAGTTCAGCCGAACTTGCCAGCTCTCCACAATAAGTTTTCATGAGAGACAGAAGGAAGGGGATATTTCTGACCCCTTGAACACCAACCCTGCAAAGCTGTGGCAGGTCAAAGGCTGAATTTGACCACCAAAACACAAACATGGGACTTTCACACTCTACAATCATAACACCATAATTACATCTTAATTGCAATATCCTATGGACTCCCCGTTTTGGCATTTTGTGGTGCCAATGTTGTTTCCTTTTTTGTGTGGAGGAATTTTTCACACAGAAAGGATCTTAAATGACACTATGTAACTATATTTGAAACATTTTCTGTTCCAATTTTGAAAGTGTTATTTCCTGTTTAATTGTCTGGTCTTTCCTTTGAAAGTCATTGTTCTATTCCAGAAATTTCATTTTTTTGGTTACGACAAACTAGGTTGAATTGGTTGAGACTCCATGAGATATTTATGGGAGCACACAAGAAATCAGTTAGTGTGTGTGTGTCAACTGCAAAATAAGTTGTACAAAGTGGATTACATGGACAATGCCGGGAAGCTGGCTTTTTTTTTTTTTTTTTTTTTTGTCGTGTCAGGAGCGACTTGAGAAACTGCAGGTCACTTCTGGTGTGAGAGAATTGGCCGTCTGCAAGAACATTGCCCAGGGGACGCCCGGATGATTTGATGTTTTTATCATCCTTGTGGGAGGCTTCTCTCATGTCCCTGCATGAAGAGCTGGAGTTGATAGAGGGAGCTCATCCGCCTCTCCCCAGATTCGAACCTGGGAAGCTGGCTGAGCCTGGGACTTTTGGATACTGTTACATTTTTCAGGCTTGAGTTATACAGGTTCTTGCAGAGAAGCACACAGAGAGAGTTTGAAGTGTGCTCTTACTTCATGAGCTGCTGGAGGAAGATTTTCCACATGGACAAAGAGAGACCATTTTAAATCTGTCTAAAAGGACATTATGTTAGTCGATGCAACTGATCACACGATTGTAAATATGTTGTTCTGAGTTACGAAGAGTAAACTGCTTGTTCTTCAATAATCATCTGTGTGGCATATTTTCTTTCTTTGGCAAGACAGTGGGTGGACTGGTCAAATGTGAACCGCACAATATTCATTGGAAAACTATCACAAAATGTGCTGCAAGATGTCCCTCCTGCAAAAACAAAGTTTAATAAACTTTTTTTCTATGTTTTTATGATAGAACCAATTAGGAAATGACATTTATAACTCGGGAACAAAAACTGAGTTACATAGTGTTATGAGAGGGAAAGCCTATGCGTGCGGCATAAACTAAATACCAAATTTTAAAATTATCTGCTGGAGAGTTACTCTGGTGTTTTCTTACCAGACTGCAAATCCCAGGATTCCATAGAATGTTACTATGGCAGTAAAAGTGGGATCATGACATGGTAATAGGGGAGTGTGGAAAGGACCCAGGAAGGCTCTGCTGCCTTGCGACACAGAACAACATGCAAATAATGCATCCCTTTAGTGATAGCTTTCCCTCTTCCCATTTGGCTCTTTCATGGATTTTTCTTAAGAAGCTTCCAAGATGGATGCTTCCCCACCCCCCACCCCCGCCCTCATGCACATCACTCACGTCGATTTTGGAGGTCTTGGCAAAGGCCCCGACAGGGTGGACGTGGTCGTAGAGGATGATGACACCCACCATCACCCGCATGCAGAAAAGGAGTGTCTCCGTGTTAGTGAACCGGCTCCGGTATTCCCTGCAAGAGACGGGAGAAAGAAATCATGAAATTATGACTCAGACCCCCATTGTAGTCCGTTGAGATACTCCAGTCCCAGCCCAAGACACACCATGTTGCAGAACTGATACAGAGCAAGAACCCCATCGAAAGGGGGCATTACACATTCAGGGTGCCATAGTAGAGAAAGCGCTCTCCCATATTTGCCCACAATGTATAGCGCCTGCTAGTGCAGTGGTTCCCAACCTGTGGTGCATGGACCACCAGTGGTCTACAAAAACTAAAATATGGTGTGTGCCCTCACCGTTACTACACTGTTGCAATGAGAGCAACTGAAGTTTATTAAATATGGCCTTCTCACAAAATATGGCCTTCTCGCAAAACCGAAGTTTATTAAATATGGCCTTCTGTGGGTGAGCAGATCGTGACTATTGGATGGCATATGTTCTGTATCCAAAACTAGAGCTGATGTGGTCTATCCAATGCAATTTTCTGAATCAGCACCCCAAATAACCAAACCGAATCTAAAGTTGACCAAAAACTGATTCGTTACCCTTTCGGTACTAATGTTGGAGAGTGGTCCCTGGTCAAGTGGTCTCTGGACAAAAAAAAAGTTGGGAACCTCTGTGCTAGTGGAAAAAAGAAGACTCCCTAGCATATTTTCATTCTTAGTCCCCTTCTACATTGCCATTCGGGCAATCTGGCGGTTAGATAAGGACAATGACGACCAGAATCGATAGTACTTGACAATGTGGAATGAATTTACGGACTCTGAGATGGCAAATGCTGAGTATTAGATTGTTTTGATTGTTTTTATTGATTTTGATGTATAAACTGACTGTCTTAATTGTTATAATTGCTGTTTACATGTTTTATCCATTGTTATGTTTATGCTGGCATCGAATTGTGCCTTTGTAAGCCGCCCTGAATCCCCCCTGGGGGGTTGAGAAGGGTGGGGTAGAAATGCGCGAAATAATATAATAATTGACATATAATCCAGATTGCCAAAGCAGATAATTCATATTATATGTTTTGAACTGGATTGTATGAGTCTATACTGCCATACAATCCAATTCAAAGCAGATAATCTGGATTTTATATGGCAGTTCAGATCCATCCAGAGTGCAACTAACACTGTAGAATTAATTTGACACCACTTTGACTGTCGTGTCTCAATGCGGCAGAATCATGGGAGTTTTAATTTTGCAAGGTCTTTTGCCTTCTCTGCCATAGAATTGTCCTAAAAAGTTGTGAGCAAGTTTTAGCCATCTAATGGAAGGGGGACACCCTTATTTTTAAAAATAGGCATTGTTGTGAGCAGGACAATGGTGGATGTTCTTTTGACCCAATGACTCACGGAGTTTCCAGCATCACCCGGCAAACACAGGCCATGGTGCTTAAGCAGTCGGTTGTATCCTCGATCGGGAGGGTTTTATTCTGAAAAGAAGAAGGGCACCTTTAGACATCCCTCATCCCTTTGTGGATGTTCCCTCGGGTCATTTGTAGAGCTCCCACGTCATCGCTATTATTCTTACTATCATTCTTATTTGATAATATTATCATCCTCATCTCAGGGGGAAGGTGGGCTATAAAATAAACACACATGTGCATGTGCATGCGCGTGCACACACACACACACACATTTTAGCATCCTTCCTCTGAAATATTTGAAAATGGTATCTTGTTGGAGCATGTAAAAATCAGTTGGTGAGTGTGTTAACTGAAAAATGCAACACACAAAACTGTGTTGGGCTATGGCCAAGAAGCTAGCTGAGCCTGGGCATTTTGGCCACAGTTACATGTTTAGGTTTTCTGTGCAGGAGTTTGCCTAGACAAGTTTGGCTGCTGAAAGAAGATCCTTCACATGGACATCTAAGGACTATATGTATTTCTCTCAAAGGACATTGTGTGAGTCAATGTTCACATCTTATTCTTTACTGATCAACTGCATGGCATATCTTTTCTCTAACAAGACAGTGTGTGGATTGGTAAAGATGTGAACTACGCATGATTTTCATTCCACCACATATCTCTCTCTCTCTCTCTCTCTCTCTCTCTCTCTCTCCATATCTCCAACTTCAACACTTGTTTCAGGGTTGATTCCTCTCAGTTAGGCCCAACTGGAGGCTCACAGAAAGTCATAGAAAATATAGAGATGGATAGTTCCCCGGAGACCATCTAGCCCAACCCTCTGCTCAGTGCAGGACCGCCAACAAAATCAGCCTTAGCCAAGAGCTCCCCAGTTTATTTTTGGAGATGTCCAGAGAAGGAAATATCGCAAATTCTCTAAGCAATTGCTGGAACTGCTAAACTGCTCTCCTTGTCTAGAGCTTTTTTCTACTAACGTCTCATCTTTTCCTCTGGCCTCCTCTGCTTTTGAGAACTGACCTCTGACACGAACTTGGTGGTGGCGTTGCTGAGGGTTTTCAGCATTGGCGTGGCCTCAGCGTAGAAGAGTGACATCCTGTTGGCCATTTCGTTGTTCACCTCACTCTCGGCATCTAACTGTGGGGCAAAGCCAAGAACAAGGCGTTTCACTATGGGAGCATCTACACTGCAGAACGAACGTAGGTTGGCATCTCTTAAACTGCCATGGCTCAATGCTATGTAATCATGGGAGTTGTAGTTTGGTGAGGCTCCGGTTGGAAATGTGGATCAAAGCTGAATGTGGTACCACTGTGGATCCTTCAGTCTAGGTTATGAATCCATCAGTGGAGGGCATGATGCTAGACTTAGTTATCCTCAAAGAGAAAATGTATTTTGACATATTGGCTGAGAAAACAGCCAAACACCATGGTTTGGATTTTTTTCTTAATTTGGGATACTTTTATGTGAAAAGTTCACCCCCAAAACTTGAGACCCAAAGTGTAAAATTTTGAATTCAAAATGTCAAACACTGCCCATGAATGCTGACTATCTCCAAAGTGAGACCCCTCGCCAATCTCTGCCAATCTTCTATTAATTCTGGAGCTCTGCACCTCCCCACTTTCTTTGCTCCCGTCAAGTTCCATCCTTGCCATCGCACTTCAAAACAATAGGAAGCCAGCCAGGATTCTTCTTACCTGTAGATTGTTGATTCGGTTTCGGCTGATGGTCCTTCTGTAGTAGCTGAAGTCATTCTGGATGGCAGGGTTGGTCATCTGAGAAAGAGACGGGGAAATATTTAGCCGGAAAGGACTCTGAGACAAATGGCAACAAACAAGTTTAAAATGCTCTCCTGTTTTGCAAATGCTGGTGAGCTGCCTTGGATATGGCACAAGAGGAAAGGCACCCCATAAATTAAAACACGTCGTTGTCAAAAGCCCATTACGACAACAGGGTCCCATTAGGATCTCTTGGTCCAGCCACTCCAAGGCACCTTGAGTTCGTCGAAACTAAGAGTGAAGTGCAGGATTTCGGCAAACTGCTTGGCCAGGGCCTGCTCCCGCTCCAAGTGCTGCGTCGGCGCATAGGGAGGGCTGGTCAGGGCTTCCAGAAGGCTCCGCAAGGCGTTCTCTAGGAGGCAGGAAAGGGGCAGTCAGGGACACAGACTGGTCCCCCCCCCCTTTTTTTGGAGATATCTATTATTATTATTATTATTATTATTATTATTATTATTATTATTATTTCCAAAGTGTACACATTATAACATAACTATTGGTACATATATAAAGCTACCAATGAACAGTAGTAATTTTAGGTAAAGGTAAAGGTTGTCCTCTGACATTAAGTCCAGTAGTGTCCGACTCTGGGGTGTGGTGCTCATCTCCATTTCTAAGCCGAAGAGCCGGCGTTGTCCGTAGACACCTCCAAGGTCATGTGGCCGGCATGACCGTTAATTTTACACCTTCTAATAATAGTAAAACTTCTCAACCCTACACCAGGATATATATATAAAAGTGTGTGTGCGCGTGTATGTATGTATGTATGTATGTATACACACACACATATTTAATGTAAAGTATACACTGATCAGGCCCCCTGGTGGCGCAGTGGGTTGAACCGCTGAGCTGCTGAACTTGCTGACCATAAGGTTGGCAGTTCAAATTTGGGGAGTGGGGTGTGCTCCCGCTGTTAGGCCCAGCTTCTGCCAACCTAGCAGTTTGAAAACATGCAAATATGAGTAGATCAATAGTTATCGCTTCTACAGGAAGGTAACGGCACTCCATGCAATCATGCTGGTCACATGACCTTGGAGGTGTCTATGGATAATGCCAGCTCTTTGGCTTAGAAATGGAGATGAGCACCACCCCCCAGAGTTGGACACGACTAGACTTAATGTCAGGGGAAGCCTGTACTTTTGATACAAAGGTGACCTAATTGTAGAACATTGATCGTGACCTTGCTCTTCTTTCTGTCAATGTATTTTAGTCACTCAGTGCCATTATGCACCAGTCTTTAGTATTCTGCAAAAAGCTTCCATTTATTTTGAAAACGTTATATTGTTTTATTTCTAAGAAGACAAGTCAATTTATCAAATTCTGCAAAGTTTAGCAGTTTGCTCAACTTTCAAATGTCCCTTCTTTTGTCTTACATTTCCAACATTTATTATCCATTCTTGTTTTCATTTGTCTTGGCAAGTTTTATTACACTGCCATATAAAATCCAGATTATCTGCTTTGAACTGGATTATATGACAGTGTAGACTCATATAATCCAGTTCAAAGCAGATAATCTCCTCTGGCGATCTGGATTATATGGAGGGCTCTCAGTCTCCATTTTCAGAGTCAGGGTAGGGAATCTACTCCAGAAGCTTTAGCTCCTTTCAAGTTCAGACTAAAACCCAGAGCGAATTCAGCAGTTCAATGACCTTACAACCACAGGTTGCCTCTGATCCGGGGAGAACGTTCTCTCTTCTTTACCTATGGAGGTCTTCCCCACTAAATGAAATGAGCATACGATGGGGAAAGGCTTACCAAGTCGGAGGGAGAACTCGTAAAAGCGCTTGAGTTTGGCCACCAAGGGACACACGGCGTTCCATGCCTTCTCCTGTAGCTGCAAGTCACTGGGGTTTTGGATGGCCTGCAAGAAAGGAGCCAAAAAGGTTTGCATTTGCAGTCCTTCACATTGTTTCAAACCAGTAGTTGTGTACAGTCTAACAATTGCTACTAAGCCTGCATCCTGAATACATCTGGGATTTGTAATTTCCTGGCAGAGAGTTCTAGACACTGGATAGAAACTGCAATTATATATTTTATATTACATGTAATATTACTAATAATATTACAATATAATGGTATAGTACAATATAGTAATATATAATACTGATGTTGTACTATGCTAATAATATAATATATTGGATGTACATATATATCTTGTAAGCCGCTCTGAGTCCCCTTCAGGGTGAGAAGGGCTGCATATAAATGTTGTAAATAATAAATAAATAAATAAATAAATAAATAAATAAATAAGCCCCAGGATCCTATACCATGCCACCATGAATCCAAACTGCTGTAACTCCGCAATGCAGAAGGGTTCAAGGCTGCATTCAGGATGCGTTACTACTAGATTGGAACAAAACAACTAAATTGGATAACACTATGTAATACAATATGAAAAATGCCCTGTTCCTGGTTCGAAAGTGTTATTTCCTGTTTAATTATGCGGTCCTTACTTTGAAGGTAGCTGTTCTATTTATTTATTTATTTTATTTGCTTCATTTGTATACCGCTCTTCTCAGCCCTCAGGCGACTCAGAGCGGTTAACAACCAGTTTCAACAACACAATACAAAATCATTAATCAATTAAAACAGTAGTATCAATTAATTAACACCAAAATATCAATACAACAGTACAGCACTATAACAATCCATCACATCTCATCAATAGAATCAGCATCCGAACTCATTGTCCATTATTCCATTCCAATAATCAATCAATTGTACTGCTTAGTTGAAAGCCTGTTCGAAAAGCCAGGTCTTCACACTCTTCTGGAATGCCAATAAAGAGGGGGCCGATCTGATGTCTTTAGGGAGGGCGTTCCACAGCCGAGGGGCCACCACTGAGAAGGCCCTGTCTCTCGTCCCCACCAGGCGTGCTTGTGAAGCCGGCGGGATCGAGAGCAGGGCCTCCCCAGACGATCTTAATGTCCTAACTGGTTCATAGGAGGAGATGCGTTCGGACAGGTGGGTCGGGCCAGAACTGTTTAGGGCTTTAAAGGCTAAAGCCAGCACTTTGAATTGTGCCCGGTAGCAAATTGGCAGCCAGTGGAGCTGGCGCAACAGAGGAGTTGTGTGCTCCCTGAGTGCCGCTCCTGTTAGCATCCTGGCTGCCGATCGTTGGACCATTTGAAGCTTCCGAGCAGTCTTCAGAGGCAACCCCACGGCGAGAGCGTTGCAGTAATCTAAACGGGATGTAATCAGAGCGTGGACCAGAAGCTACTCCAGAAGCTTCATGTGCTGCATGTGCTTCATGTTTGTGGCTTCCACAAACTAGGTTGGATTGCTTGAGACTCTATGATGAGATACTAGAGCAAACTCTATTCTGCCTTGGTTAGACCACACCTGGAATAGTGTGTCCAATTCTGGGCCCCACAATTCAAGAGAGATATTGAAAAGCTGGAATGTGTCCAGAGGAGGGCAACTAAAATGATCAAGGCTTTGGAGAACAAGCCCTATGAGGAGCGGCTTAAAGAGCTGGGCATGTTTAGCATGAAGAAGAGAAGGATGAGAGGAGACATGATAGCCATGTATAAATATGTGAGAGGAAGTCACAGGGAGGAGGGAGCAAGCTTATTTTCTGCTGCCCTGGAGACTAGGATGCAGAACAATGGCTTCAAACTACAAGAAAGGCGTTTCCATCTGAACATTAGGAAGAACTTCCTGACTGTGAGAGCAGTGGAACTCTCTGCCCCGGAGTGTGGTGGAGGCTCCTTCTTTGGAAGCTTTTAAACAGAGGCTGGATGGCCATCTGTCGGGGGTGCTTTGAATGTTATTTTCCTGCTTTTTGGCAGGGGGTTGGACTAGATGGCCCATGAGGTCTCTTCCAACTCTATGATTCTATGATTCTATATAATATTGATCATAATATAGTAATTCAATATAATACTAAAAATATAATATAGAGTAATAATATGACAATTATATATTATATATTACATGTAATATTACTACTAATAATTGTGCTACAGGATGTTTTTGCAGTTTAATAAACTTTTCCATGTTTTTATAATAGAACCAATTAGAAAATGACATTTATAACCCAGGAATAAAAATCATGTTACATAATGTAATCAATCAATCAATCAATCACTTTCCCCCCTAAGGCTGGGAAGACAGTCAATCTTGCTATTTAAAGGGTATCAAACTTCTATAACTATGAAGCAAAGATAGTCTTTTAGCCTTTATTGCTATCATCGCAAGGTTGGTTTGAGAATGGAGTCTTGGTCCAGTAGGAACCATGGCTTCAACAGTGTCTGTCAATGACTCCAGTTTGGGTTTTATTCCCATTTTAAAGGTGCTGTACAGAGCCATGTGGTCCTCCGCCATCAACTCCGCTGGACTGGCCATGTTGTCCGAATGTCCAATCACCGTCTCCCAAAGCAGTTACTCTACTCTGAACTCAAGAACGGAAAAGGGAATGTTGGAAGACAGGAAAAGAGATTTAAAGATGGGCTCAAAGCCAACCTTAAAAACTGTGGCATAAACACCGAGAACTGGGAAGCCCTGGTTCTTGAGCGCTCTAGCTGGAGGTCAGCTGTGACCAGCAGTGCTGTAGAATTTGAAGAGACACGAATGGAGGGCGAAAGAGAGAAACGTGCCAAGAGGAAGGCGTGTCAAGCCAACCCCGACCGGGACCACCTTCCACCTGGAAACCAATGCCCTCATTGTGGGAGAACATGTGGGTCAAGAATAGGGCTCCACAGTCGCCTACAAACCCACTGCCAGGACACCGCACTTGGAGGACAATGAGGGATCGCCTAAGTAAGTAAGTACAGGGCCATGAACTGAAACTCTAGATCCAGCCATTTGAGGAGCCCTTTTAGAGAGTCTTCTGTGAAAAGAGATGCCCTTTGGCCGCCTACCTCCCGGATCTCTTGCCCGGCTCCGGTGTAGGACTGCAGTTCGGCCAGGATGGTCTGGGCCTCTTCCAGGACGGCATTCACCTGGTTCCAGACGGCGGTTTCGGCTTCGGTCGGCTGGGCATCTGCAGCAAAGGTTGACCACAAAGAAAGCCAGAATTCAGGAGATGCTTGGCTTGGAGAAGACATAGCAGCCAACATGGGGCAGGACAAGGGGCATCTGCACAAGATGGCTGGGGAGGCATGGAGACCCAGAAAGGCTGACACAGCCATTCGGTCCCATTTCAACTGCCAAAACCAACTAGGTGACCAACTAGGAGTTGGAGTCCACTCTCTTGAAGTATAGATACCAAGATACTAAATCTTCCGGAAAGTGAGCAAGAACACAGGGTCTTAACTATGGCTCCGTTCTGGGTTTTGCAGTTTGGTGAGGGGCTAAGGCTGGATCTACACTGTCATATAATCCAGATTATCAAAGCAGATAAAACAGATTATCTGCTTTGAACTGGATTATATGACTCTGACTATATAATCCTATTCAAAGCAGATACGATGGAATTTATATGCCCTTAGGCCCTTTCTACCCTGCCCTATATCCCAGGATCTGATCCCAGATTATCTGAACTGGATTATATAAGGCCCTTTTTACACTACTATATAATAGGAGTCCCTGGTGGCACAGTGGGTTAAACCCTTATGCCGGCAGGACTGAAGACCGACAGTTTGGGGGTTCGAATCCAGAGAGAGCTTGGATGAGCTCCCTCTGTCATCTCCAGCTCCCCAAGCCTCCCATAAGGATGATAAAACATCAAAACATGGGCCTCCCCTGGGCAATTTCCTTGCAGATGGCCAATTCTCTCACACCAGAAGCAACTTGAAGTTTCTCAAGTCACTCCTGACACAAAAAAACTATATAATATCCAGAATATCTGCTGGATTATATGGCAGTGCAAGCTCAAATAATCCACTGGGTTGTTGTAGGTTTTTTCGGGCTGTATGGCCATGGTCTAGAGGCATTCTCTCCTGACGTTTCGCCTGCATCTATGGCAAGCATCCTCAGAGGTAGTGAGGTCTGTTGGAACTAGGCAAAAGGGTTTATATATCAAATAATCCAGTTCAAACCAACTAATATGGATTATCTGCTTTAATAATCAGGGTTATATGGCAGTGTAGAAGGGGTCTGAGTCTACACTGCAAGATAATGAACAGATTATAATCTGGAAGCAGATCCTGGTATATGTAGCAGGGTAGATCCAGACTTAGAGTCCACTGGTAGGGAGTTCTAGTCCACTTCCTTGGGTTATAGTTACAAAGATACCTAAATGTAATGCTCAGTTCCTCCTCCCAAAGAACCTTGGGCATTATAGTTCAAGAACGTGCACAAGAGCAGTGGTTCCCAACTGTTGATCCTCCTGAGATGTTTTGGACTTCAATCCCCAGAAGTCCCATCCAGAGAGCCGAAGACCAGGAATTCTGGGATCTGAAGTCCTAAAGTACTTGGAGGACCAAAAGTGGAGAACCATCACATTAAGGATCTCTATCCTTCTCAGGTTTGCCTTGGGTGGAATTCCATATCTCTTGCTATTGGACATAGGGAGCCCAGATCTCACGGCCTGGCAAAGGGAAGGAATCTCAGGGTGAGAGAACAGTCTTGAAAAAAGTAGATGGGGGTGGCGGATGTTTTCCTTCTTTGTTATCCTGGGCGGTTTTTTTATTTCAATGGCACAGTTTATCCAACTCTGGATGGTGCTGTCTCTTGATTCTTGACTTCATGGGAACCCACCCCTTGTGACATCATAAGAAGGCGTTCCCTAAGCTCAACGATCCATCCCACCCCATTATATATATATATATAATTTTAAAAGGGGACAAATCAGTGCAAATAATAAGTAAATTAACAAAAGGGAGGCATGAATTACAACAGAAGAAAACAAAAAGAAATTAAAAGATCCCTTCTCACGTTCAAAGTCAAGGAAAAAAATAGGCCCTTGGTCAAGTTCGCTATAAGTCAAGACTTTAAGAAGGTTCCCCATGTGACACCTGCAAGAGAAGAGACAAGAGGGAGAAAAGCATGATGGGTATGTGAGGGGTTCATGGCTTTGGGGGAGGGCACATTGGGGTCAAGTGGCAGGAAGAGCCTTTCGGAGCGTTCGGACATAGTCGTCAACCAGTTGCCCCTGTTTTTGCATCTCTGGTGGTGAAGCTCCTTTGCAGCCTTGAGATATCATTTCACATTGCATTCCCAGTTAAGGACCCAATTAAGAAGGGTTGATGGGGATCTGAATTTGGCCTCTTCCTGCCCCTGAAGGGAAGGGAATCATGAGGATGGGGAAGGGAAACCAATGAGCAGGGAGGAGGGAATACCGTTCTCTGAGCAGATTCGGGAAGGCGATGGGAACACCTTCGTTTCTGGAGTTTGATTCAATTCAGCACCAGCCGCACACAAAGCCCATCCAAAAGCAGTCACCCTCCCACAATATAATGTTGGACCAATGAGAGAACATGTGGAATAAAGGGTTAAAACCTACGTTATGTTATAATTTGAAAGATAATTTTTATAAAATAATGTATAGATGGTATTAATAGTGTATTGATGGAAAGCTCTTTTTTCCATGTCAGGAGTGCCTTGAGAAACTGCAAGTCGCTTCTGGTGTGACAGAATTGGCTGTCTGCAAGGACGTTGCCCAGGGAACACCCTGATGTTTTACCATCCTGTGGGAGGCTTCTCTCATATCCCCACATGGGAAGCTGGAGCTGACAGAGGGAGCTCATCTCGCTCCTCGGATTTGAACTGCCAACCTTTTGGTCAGCAGTCCTGCTGGCAGAAGGGTTTAACCTATTGCACTACTGCGGGCTCCTGGAAAGCTCCTGAAAAGCTTTTTATGATGTCTGAAGAGGTTTCCAACACTTGCTGGAAATGTAAACAGCAAGTGGGGTCCTTCTACCATATGTGGTGGACGGCATGTAAACATGCCAAGAAATATATTGTCGAAGGCTTTCATGGCTGGAATCACTAGGTTCTTGTGGGTTTTTTTGGGCTATATGGCCATGTTCTAGAGGCATTTCTCCTGACATTTCACCTGTATCTATGGCAAGCATCCTCTGAGGATGCTTGCCATAGATGCAGGCGAAATGTCAGGAGAAATGCCTCTAGAACATGGCCATATAGCCCGAAAAAACCCACAAGAACCTTATGCCAAGAAATACTGGAGTCGAACACATACGGTGATCCAGAAACCTGAGTTAAGTCCTGGCTGATTCCTCCTTGGGGGAATCCTTTGTTGGGAGGTGTTAGATGGCCCTGATTGTAAACTGGCTGGGATTTTTGGGAGTGTAGGCCAACACAGGTTGAGAACCACTGATCTATAGAATCAATAGATCTATTGAATCCATAGTCTATAAAATCAACGTATCTATAGAATCCCCAGAGGCTATAAAATAAATGGATCCATAAAGTCCATGCAGTCTATAGAATCAATGGATCTATAAAATCCACAGTCTATAAAATCTGTAGAGTCTATAAAATCAATGGATCTATAGAATCCACAGTTTTTTATAATCCATGACTCTATAGAATCCATGGAAGTATGCAGAATCAATTGATCTATGGAATCTATACACTTTCAAAAAAACAACTGAAAACTAATAATAATAATAATAATAATAATAATATAGAATGAATGGATGTATAGAATCCATAGTCTATAGAATGAATGGGTCAAGGCAATCCATAGTCAAATAGAATCAATGAGGCTACAGAATCTATAGAATCAATGATTTTGACAGACTCTATGGATTCCCCAGAAACATAACATTGCACTGAATGACCTAAAATTCCTAGAGAAAACAGTTTAATCAAATCCGCAATAGCCAAACCTGCAAATGTGGCAGGCTGACTGTATGTACATAAACAGAACTATGTCCACATAGGTGACCCAAGAGGACTACATCCCAAATCTGACCACTCTGAGCCGCCCTTATAGGGCAAATCTAATATACAAAACATAATAATATAGAAAGAAAACTGCCAGTGTGCCATGGGTTTGTATCCAGTCTCTTCCAGTGTCCAGCTGCCACAGTTTGGTCCTTCCCATTCAATATAGTTCATGGGTCCAAAGGTTGTCCATCGCATCCCCAAATCTGCTGCGAACAGTGACTGCTGCCACCGAACCACAGAAACTACACCACCGTTGCCACCGTCACACATGCAAACACACTCCCCATTCGTGCAAGGGACTTACTTTCGAAATCCAGGAAAAAATGAGGACAGTTTTCTAAATCTTTTCCCAGTACCTTTATCAGGTTGCCCATGGCCAGCAGACCTGAGCGGGAGAAACAGAACAGAAGGGAAAAGAGCAACCGAGGGACTGGGAAAAAGAAGAGGAGAGAAAGAGACAGACAGAGAGTGAGGCCAAACATCCAAACAGGGGCAGAAGCACTTCGGTCTTGGAGAGGATTTGCAAAAATCGAAGAACGGATACACCAAAACGCATATCAATAAAAGCAGGCAGAAGTTAGAATGCAATATGGAAACTCCTTTGGGTGACCTTGGGCATGTTGCACTCTCTCAGCCTCAGAGGGACCCCAGTCTAGACCTGCTCTGTCCCTGTCGCTTGTCTGCGTTCCTCTTTGTCGGGTGCGGAAGTGCCGCAACTACTTCCATATTTTCTATTTTGGACCCTGCGAGGGAAGCAGAGTGAGAGGCGTTGAAGACGTCTCTCCTTCTGCTTGCTTCTCCTGGCGCAATTTTGTGCAGTTCTCTACCCCAAATGGACGAAAACCTCCACAAAGCCACACAATCTGAAACCTTCCTTTACAGGGGGGAGCTTTGGGTCCATGGTCCTTTTGGTCTGCCCTTTAACAATGTCTGGATCCTTACTGCCATATAATGTAGCTTGAATCTGCATTGGATGGTTGGTGTAGACCAGGCATGGGCAAACTTGGGCCGTCCAGGTGTTTTGGACTTCAATTCCCACAATTCCTAACAGCCGGTAGGCTGTTAGGAATTGTGAGAGTTGAAGTCCAAAACACACGGATGGCCCAAGTTTGCCTGTGCCAGGTGTAGACTCATATAATGCAGCGTAACTGCACTGAACTCCATCCTATGGGTCTACACTACAGCTGATGGGAAGACAATGGATAAATATATTCTGTGTATTTGCAGATATTATTGTACCATTGTACTATTTTTGACTAACAGCATTTTTTTCTTCTTTTATCTCTTTTCAGGTCTAGTTTTCTGACTTTGCTTTCTTTTAGCCAGCCTTTGTTTTTCTTTAAATTTCTAGAAAAAATAAATATTGGGAGATTATAATATTATAATGTAATGCAATATAATGTTAATAATAATATGATGTTATAATTATATATTTATATTACATGTAATATTACTAATAATATTACAATACAATGGTATAGCACAATATAGTAATATTTAATACTGTTATTGTACTATGCTAATAACATGATATACTAGCTGTCCCCTGCCACACGTTGCTGTGGCCCAGTTTGTTGATCTGGAAAAGAAAGTAATGAGAAAGTGTTGGTTTCTAATTAATGTAATGTCTTTATGCTTGTGGGTAAACAGTATTTCTTGCTGTTTCTTTGTCAATGTTGATGTGGAGAGTGTCTGGTTTGCCCACCCTGGAACATGCAACATATCATTGTCATTCTTTAAGAGTCCCTTTCAAATCTATGATACTATAACTGTCTGTGTGTGAATCATGTATATCTTTCTATATCTTTGGCTGGATGGCTCTTTGTCAGAAGGGCTTTGATTACGTTTTCTTGCCCTGATGAAGGGAGTTGGATTGGATGGCCTTAAGTATTTTCTGTGGATCACGGGAGCTCTGTGTGGGAAGTTTGCCCTGATTCTGTCGTTTGTGGGGTTCAGAATGCTCTTTGATTGTAGGTGAACTATAAATCCCTATAACTACAAATCCCAAACATCAAGTTCTATTTCCCCCAAACTCCATCGGTGTTCATATTTGGTCGTATTGAGTGCTTGTGCCAAGTTTGGTCCAGATACATCATTGTTTGAGTCCACAGTGCTCTCTGGATGTAGGTGAACTACAACTCCAAAACTCAAGGTCAATGCCCACCAAACCCCTCACTACCTCTGAGGATGCTTGCCATAGACGCAGTATTTTCTGTTGGTCATGGGGGACCTGTGTGCCAAGTCTGGTTCAATTCCATCGTTGATGGAGTTCAGAATGCTTTTTTGATTGTAGGTGAATTATAAATCCCAGCAACTGCAACTCCCAAATGACAAAATCATAATTTTTGAGTGATGGTCACTCCTTGTGATGTGAGACGTTTTGTTGCCAAATTTGGTGTGATTTCGTTTATTGGTTCTTTTGTTTTTAAGGTACTCATTATGCACAGAGCATTTATATATATAGATATAGATTGTCTCTCTCTCTCTCTCTCTCTCTCTCTCTCTATCTATCTATCTATCTATATATATATATATCTTGTAAGCCACTCTGTGTCCTCTTCGGGGTGAGAGGGCGCCATATAGATGTCGTAAATAAATAAATACATACATTGCTTTCTATGGCAGTGTGGATCCAGACAATACCATTCTTTGCCATTTGGTTACTCCCAACTAGAGCAGTGAATCTAAACTAACTGGGTAGACAGATTCTAGTTAATTCAATCATTCAGTTTGAAGTTTAGGGAGCAGAATGGAAGACACAACACCCTTTACCTTAAACTAGTGTTTTTCAAACTTCCTAATGCCATGACCTCTTAATATAGTTCCTCATGTTGTGATGACCCCCAACCATAGAATTATTTTCGTTGCTACTTCACAACTGTAATTTTGCTACTGTTATGAATCGTCATGTAAATATCTGATACACAGGAGGTATTTTCATTCACTGGACCAAATTTGGCACAAATACCCAATATACCCAAATTTGAATACTGGTGTGGTTGGAGGGGGATTGATTTTGTCATTTGGGAGTTGTAGTTGCTGGGATTTATAGTTCACCTACAATCAAAGAAGATTCTGAACTCCACCAACAATGGAACTGAACCAAACTTGGCACACAGAACTCAAATGACCAACAGAAAATACTGAAAGGTTTTGGTGGACATTGACCTTGAGTTTTGGAGTTGTAGTTCACCTACATCCAGAATGCACTGTGGACTCAAATAGTGATGTATCTGGACCAAACTTGGCACAAAAATCCTCAGTATGCCCAAATGTGAACACTGGTGGAGTTTGGGGAAAATAGACCTTGGACCTCATCACACTAGAGAATGAATCCACTTTGAATTCGGTTTCCACTTCCTTCAGAATTCTGGAGTTTGTTGTTTAGGGAGGTGCCTTTAACAGCCTCACTAAACTACAAACCCCAGAATTTTACAGGAAGTAGAAACTGGATTTAAAGTGGATTCACTCTCTAGTGTGATGAGGTACCTTAATATTTAGGATTTGTAATTGCTGGGATTTACAGTTCACCTACAATCAAATAAATAAATACACTGCTTTCAAATCACTATGAACCCAGCCCACAATGGATCTGCACCAAACTTGGCACACTACCTACATGGCCAACACTGGAGGGGAGCTGTAGTTGTAGTTCACCAACAACAAAAAGAAAGAGAAGGACAGCAGAGAGATCTTCAGCCCTCTCTGCCAAAAAGATTCCTAAGACCATCAGAAATATGTGTTTTTTGATGGTCTTTGGTGACCCCCTCTAAAAAAACCCTCGCGACCCTCTCTGGGGTCCAGACCCCCAGGTTGAGAAACGCTGCCTTAAACCATGTACAGAACTGGATGGAGATTGTCCACATTGACTGCCATTGCAATATCTAGTGACGGTGAGTCCCACAGGGTCCTCCCTCCTTATCTGCTTTCTTCATCTCATGCATCATTTGCATCCAACTTTTTTACTTGCCTTTCCTCCTAAACTGGACATCCCCATAAATTATAATCCTTCCTGATGCTCCAACTCTATTGCCGTTGGTCCTGAGGGACCACCACGTCCCACTCCACCTCTTCTTTCTGCCTCTTTGCAGGGTCTCAGGTGAGGCAAGCCTTTGGCACTCACCTGTTTCCAAGGGAGTGTCTCTCCTGTGTGGATGTGCTGCACAGCCTTCTCAATGTGCTCTCTTTCTGTCTTTCTTTCTCTTTCTTGCTCGTCTGGTGTGGAAACGCCACAAGAAGCCACTTCTATATTTTCTGTCTATTTTGGACTCTGAGAGGGAAGCGGAGCACACAGCGAAGTCTCGGCCACTTCCTGCGAGAGAGAAAGAGAACCTTTCCCATGTGTTTTCCAGGGCGCATGGCGCAACTTCTCCATCTCAGTCCCTTTTTTTAGAAGAGCCTGTCTCCTAGAGATCTACTGGAAGGGAGTCGATCCCTCCTTTATGTGCGAGAGGCTAAAGACAGGTTGCAAAAACTCCCTGCATGTAGAAAACTAGCTCTGCAAAGAGCAAGCCTTCTCCCTGGTCTGCTAGTGCCTCATTTATTTTCTTTGCATACAAGAAGGTCTCACTATAGAATGGCCAAGTTGTTGTGTAGGAGAAAGATATCTCCATTCAACCTCCCTCGCTTCACCATTTAGCTCAGTGTTTCTCAACCTGGGGGTTGAGACCCTTGGGGGGGGTCACCGGGGGGGGGGGTCAGAGGGGTCCCCAAAGACTATCAGAAAACACAGTATATTCTGTTGGTCACAGGGGTTCTGTGTGGGAAGTTTGGCCGAATTGTATCATTGGTGGGCTTCAGAATACTCTTTGATTGCAGGTGAACTATAAATTCCAGCAACTACAACTCCCAAATGTCAAGGTCTATTTTCCCTAAACTCCACCAGTGTTTACATTTGGGCATATTGAGTATTCATGCCATGTTTAGTCCAGATCCATCATTTTTTGAGTCCACAGTGCTCTCTGGATGTAGGTGAACTATAGCTCCCAAACTACAGTCCACCAAACCCTTCCACTATTTTCTGTTGGTCATGAGAGTTATGTGTGCCAAGTCTGTTCAGTTGCATCGTTGGTGGAGTTCAGAATGCTCTTTTAATTTAAATGAACCATAAATCCCAGCAACTACAACTCCCAAATGACAAAATCAATCCCCGCCCCCAACCCCATCAGTATTCAAAATTTGGGCGTATTGGGTATTTGTGCCAAACTTGGTCCGGTGAATGAAAATACATCCTACACATCAGATATTTACATTATGATTCATAACATTCGCAAAATTACAATTATGAAGTCGCAACAAAAATAATGTTGTGGTTGGGGGTCACCACAACATGAGGAACTGCGTTAAGGGGTCGCAGCATTAGGAAGGTTGAGAACCACTGATTTAGCTGCTGCAGCTCCCCACAAAAGCCATTCGATTGGGATGCTATGGGTATGTTTACCTCCATCCCTATAGTCTGAAGAAGGACTTAAGGACATCGCCTTTTGGGTGCATCTACATTGTCAAATTAATGCATGTTCACCCCCAGCCATGGCTCAGTGCTATGGAATTGTGGGAGTTGTAGTTTCACAAGGTCTTGAGTATATCTACGCAAGAATCAGGCAAAATCCCTGCATTGTAACCAGAAGGTAGGTTTTGTTGCTGTTGCTGCTGTTGTTTACCTCCGTTTGGGATGCTTCAGAAACCTCTTGAGCTGGATGAGGGTTGCTGTAGGGTTCGCAAAACGCACTTCATCAACTGGGAAAATCCTGCAGCATGGAAGGGCGAGGGAGGAGAGACCAAATGCAACGTTAGGTTTCCAATTCATTCACATGAGCTAATCATTTTGCCTGGTTTAATCCTGTGCCCTTGGCTGGGAAAGAGAAGTGTGAAAGCTGAGACCCTGGCATGGGGGCTTCATTGTGTTTATCATGCAAAAGGAGAGCCTGAACATTCAGCATCAGCCCTTTCCATCCATCTTCTGTTGACACGCAGTGGTTTGCATCCAGCCCAGGGTCAGAGGCCTGCGCAAAAGATGCTCCCCAGGAGAGGACCAAAAAGCACGGCGTTTTCTGCTGAGAGCGGCAGAAGCGGAGCTGCAGAGGCAGGAGGCACCTTCCTCTGTCTCCTCTTTGCAAGCTGTGCTTGGTCATAGAATCATACAGTTGGAAGAGGCCACTAAGGCCATCCAGCCCAACCTCCTGCATTGCACACTGTACATTTAAGTTGTGTATCTTATGTTGTGCATTGCATTGCCAAAAAGCATCCAGTCACTGATATGTGTCATGCAAGGACGCATGGTGCCATGGTTGGAGCACTAGGCTACAACTGAATCAGATGGAGTTGGGGTGTCCAGTGTGTGTGTGTGTGTGTGTGTGTGTGTGTGTCAGCAGCGACTTGAGAAACTGCAAGTTGCTTCTGGTGTGAGAGAACTGGCCATCTGCAGTCATGTTTCCCAGGGGACACTCGGATATTATACCCATTCTCATGTCCTCGCATGGGAAGCTGGAGCTCTGACAGATGAGAGCTCATCCCGCTCCCCGGATTTGAACCGCTGACCTTTCAGTCAAAAGACAACTCAGTCAGGTGCATTTGTCCATCTATTTTCATATTGTCAATTGTGGCCAGCAGATCCATTGGGACCCAAACTGGTCATTTATTGATCTGGAGATATCATGGAACTGTTTACATGGATCCAATCCTGTCTTGACCTTCAACTTAGTGGTCTAGGTAGACCATAATGTCGCCTTGGCAGCAGGAGCTATTTCGTCTGTCTAGCAGGATTCATTTCCTCTTCCTCCTTCTCTAAGATTCTTGATCTTTCCCTACTGAGTTTCTTTCAATGCAGGTCCAAAAAGGAGTCTAGTGTCTAGTTCCACTGAAGTCATACTACCCCTCTATTCTGCCTTGGTCAGACCACACCTGAAATCACATTGTGTCCAATTCTGGGCACCACAATTTAAGAGACATGTTGACTCTAGGCTGAAATGTGTCTAAAGGAGGGCGACTAAAATGATCAAGTGTCTGGAGAACAAGCCCTATGAGGAGCGGCTTAACGAGCTGAGCTTTAGCCTGAAGAAGAAAAGGCTGAAAGGAGACATTATGGTCGTGTATAAATATGTGAAGGGAAGTCATAGGGAGGAGGGAGCAAGCTTGTTTTCTGCTGCCCTGGAGACTAGAACGCAGAACAATGTCTTCAAAGTACAGGGAAGGAGATTCCACCTGAACATTAGGAAGAACTTCCTAACTGTGAGAGCTGTTCAGCAGTGGAACTCCCTGCCTCGGAGTGTGGTGGAGGCTCCTTCTTTGGAAGCTTTTAAACAGACGCTGGATGGTCATCTGTCAGGGGTGCTTTGAATATGATTCCTGCTTCTTGGCAAAGGGTTGGACTGGATGGCCCATGAGGGCTCTTCCAACACTATGATTCTATTGGCCATTCTCTCCAGGGTTTCTGGGAGTTATAGTCCCCAAAAGTCCCTTCCCCTGGATTTGAATTTGCCCCTGTTCCCAGGCTTGATGAATAAACTCTAGAGCGGTTTAAGGAGCTGGGCATGTTTAGCCTGAAGAAGAGAAGGCTAAAGGAGATATGATAGCCATGTATAAATAGGAAGGAAGCCACAGGGAGGAGGGAGCAAGCTTGTTTTCTGCTTCCTTGCAGACTAGGACGCAATGGAACAATGGCTTCAAACTACAAAAGAGGAGATTCCATCTGAACATAAGGAAGAACTTCCTCACTGTGAGAGCCGTTCAGCAGTGGAACTCTCTGCCCCGGAGTGTGGCGGAGGCTCCTTCTTTGGGAGCTTTTAAACAGAGGCTGGATGGCCATCTGTCAGGGGTGCTTTGAATGCAATATTCCTTCTTCTTGGCAGGGGGTTGGACTGGATGGCCCATGAGGTCTCTTCCAACTCTTTGATTCTATGATTCTATGAGAAGCTGGGACATGTCCAAAGTGACCGAGATGGTCAAGGGTCTAGAAAGCAAACTATAAGAAAGCACGGAGGCAGCTGGAGAAGACATGGAGAACTATCTGTGAATGTACAAGATGGAACAAGCTTGGTTTCTGCTGCACCAAAGGTTAGAAGACAAACTAATGGCTTCAAATGACAACGAAAGATATTCCAACCAATATTAGGAATGCCTTCTTGACTGCAAGAGTTGTTGAATAGATAGCATAAGATGGAGGATTGGAGGCCTTCCAGCAGATGGGTGGACCTTTTCTGGGCATGCTTTAGTTTTGTATTTGGGCCTGGCATGCATTGGACTAGATGGCCCTTATAGTCCCCTCCTAAGCATGTTTCCCGTTGCACACCATTGACATCTCCATATCTATGGGAGCGCAATTTTTTTTGTCGTGTCAGGAGTGACTTGAGCAACTGCAAGTCACTTCTGGTGTGAGAGAATTGGCCGTCTGCAAGGTCGTTGCCCAGGGCACACCCGGATGTTTTGATGTTTTATCATCCTTGTAGGAGGCTTCTCTCATGTTCCCACATGGGGAGCTGGAGCTGACAAGGAGAGCTCATCTGTGCTCTCCCCAGATTCAAACCTCCAACCTGTCGGTCTTCAGTCCTGCCGGCACAAGGGTTTAACCCATTGTGCCACTGGGGGCTCCACCTTTGAGGGTGCCTACTACCGATGTGGGTGAAACATCAGGGGAGAATGCTTCTGGAACATAGCTGTACAGCCCAAAAAACTCACCGCACGCCAGTGATTCCAACCATGAAAGCCTTTGACAATTCTATTTTTGCCATGGCACTTTCCAAAATCTGTAGAATGTGCTTCCAAAAGGCCAAAAGCCCACCACACAGAAAAGAGAAGTCCGCTTCTAGTTTGGGAATGCATTTGGGGGCAACGTGGAATCAATTAGAAAAATGGACCGCCACACCTGGAGGCTTCGAGGAAAAGCAAGATATACTCCTTCCTTGTCCTATTGGTCTATAAAGGAGACTTCCAGGTTGCAACAACCAACTTGGGGTCCGGATTTGGTGCCAGATAAAAGGAGCCCCCGTTATGCCCCTATTTCAGCTGGAGCTGATAGAGGGAGCTCATCCGCACTCTCCCCGGATTCAAACCTGTGACCTGTCAGTCTTCAGTCCTGCCGGCACAGGGGTTTAACCCACTGCGCCACCGGGGAGCGCAATGAGACATCAGGCTAGAAGGAAGCAATGAAGGGAGAGGTCCACTCTCGCCTGCCCGGCCTTGTCTATTTTTAGATGAAAATAAGGGAAAGCTTTTGTGGCTTCCTATGGATTAGGCCCTTTGTTCCCAAGCTCCTGGCCCAGATCGGCTTGCCTCGCTCCTTGCGAAGGAAGAACGAATCCCCGAATGCTAATCAAGTGGCGCATTTCAAGGGAGATTAGCTTAAGCATCCTCTGGCACCAAATCCACCAGACAAGACAACTTCTGCCAAGTCAATCCTGGACATTGAAACGAGCAGCAAAAGAAGGGGAAGGAGAGATAGACGGGGTAGATAGGGCATTGCCGTCCTTCAAGTAAGCAGATCTGGGCTGGATAGATCTCAGAAGGAGTGAGTTGGTGAAGAGACATATTTAGCAGAGGGCATCCTTCTGCATTTCTTGGTTGGAGTATACTACCCCAGATCTGCATCTAGCAGCTGAAAATAAGATTGAGAAGGCTGGGTTGCTCCCCTTGGCTAGCACCATGGTTGCCAGGTACCAGTGGTAGCTCATGGGTCCCAGGGATCTATTCCAGATTTTGGATAGCTTTCCAGGAGCTCTCCAAAGTGCTGAGCCTATCCTGGTTCACTATATTGGAGAGCTCCCTTCAAAGTCAAATCTAAAACCAGGACCGGATTCACCATCCCACTAACTTGGGGCACATTCTCTGTTGCCACCATTGGTTCAGCTCAATTTCCTCAGTCTCTCCTCAGCTTCAGGGGCAAAACCTGGCATATACTAGCTGCTGGAGGGAAGAAAGAATGGATGCTGCTCACAATGGGATTCTGCTCAGTCTCCCCTTTGTATTTGGGAATAGTCAGAAAAAGGCCCATGCCCACCTCTGCATCCCATTAGTAGCCAAGGAAAAGGCTTGAAGAATGGGGAGGTGGGCTTGCAGAAGATTGTACTGGGTACCTTTTTTCTCCAGAAGTTTTTAATGCCAGGATGCTGTGGAGTTCTGGAAGTTATAGTTTCACAAAAATATTTCACTGTCTCTGTCAAAGAGTGCCCAACTATAGCTCCCAGGATCCCATCACATGGAGCCAAAACTGCATTAATCCCACAGTATGAATGCTCTATAGCAGCGTTTCTCAACCTGTGGGTCGGAACCCCTGATGTGGGGGAGGGGGGTCCGATGGAGTGTCAGAGACCATCAGAAAACACAGTATTTTCTGATGGTCACGGGGGTTCTGTGTGGGAAGTTTGGCCCAATTCTATTGTTGGTGGGGTTCAGAATGCTCTTTGATTGTAGGTGAACTATAAATCCCAGCAAATACAACTCTCAAATGTCAAGGTCTATTTTCCTCAAACTCCACCAGTGTTCACATTTGGGCATATTGAGTATTGATGCCAAGTTTGGTCCAGATTCATCATTGTTTGAGTCCACAGTGTTCTCTGGATTCAGGTAATCTACAACTCCAAAACTCAAGGTCAACGCCCACCAAACCCTTCCAGGATTTTCTGTTGGTCATGGGAGTTCAGTGTGCCAGGTTTGGTTCTATTCCATCATTGCTGGAGTACAGAATGCTTTTTGGTTGTAGGTTAACTATACACAGTATTTTCTGATGGTCACGGGGGTTCTGTGTGGGAAGTTT